GTTACCAAGCAACTAATTTAGTTACCAAGCAACTAATTTAGTTACCAAGCAACTAATTTAGTTACCAAGCAACTAATTTAGTTACCAAGCAACTAATTTAGTTACCAAGCAACGACACGATGTTGCCAAGCAACGTCAAGGGATTCCCTTAAAATAGTAATAATTCTATGCAATGATATTAAACTATGTACATCCTCGGTGAGGGACAGAACTAAGCGAGCTTCTGAGCAGCTTCATTTCTTCCACTTGTGTTCTTAGTTCTTGTAATTTCGTCTTGTAATCGTCAATAAATGATTGTTGTTTGTCTTTCTTGACCTTGAGCTGTGCATTCAACTGCTGAACATTTTTCTGTGAGAAATTTTCACGTAAGCGTTTTATTTCTTCCTGCAGCTCAGACAGTCGTGTGGCGTTTACTTGCTGAAGGTGTGGAATCTCTGACAAGATTCTGTCCACGCCATTTTTAGCACTGTTAATGCCCTGGCTAGCTTGTTCGGATGTAACACGAGCTACCTCACTTTCCTTCTTGGCAAAATCCGCACTTCGTGAATAGTTTTCTTCACAGGATTTGATTGGCTGTTTGATGATTTGACCAATATTTGATGTGCTTGTATTCTTTGAGATAAGTATTTCTGGAGTATGGGTGCTTGAATCGGCGTTACCTTGGAGAACAATGGCTTGAGAAAACACAGCTGAGACGATCTGGAAACAAGATAAAAAACATTTATGAATCTAAGAACTGGCCTCACGCGACACAAACACAGGGCTCAGAGGAAAAACGCTAGTGCGCCCACAAACAAGACGTTTGCGTCATTTGACTCCCACTACCAAGATGCTTCGCGAAGGTTCTTTCTTATTTAAATTCGTATTCCCTAATGAGAATTGTAAAACAATGGGTGCTAATCCAAGGGCGGATCCAGCCAAAATTTTAGGGGGGGGCTAATTGAGTTTAGGGGGGACTAAATGAGTTTTTTCCGTCAACACAACGGAAAACAATATAAAAAAACATCGTTTTTTTCTGCTGAAGGGGCGGGGG